ATCTTGGACTAAATTTGTCAAGGTTATTTAAAGTTTTAACATAACAAAGGGGTTCCAAAGACTCGAGGTGATCAATTCTAGGAATTTTACCAAAAATCATCTCATAAGGAGTTTTTTAATTCAAGAGTGGAGTAGGAATTCCGTTTATCAAGTATGTAGTCGTCAATATGCAATCTCCTCAAAATTCTATAGGCACATTTGATTGGAACATAAGTGATCTAGCAACATTAAGAATGTGTTTATGTTTTCTCTCTACCCTTCCATTTTGTTATGGTGTATATGATATGGTGCTTTCATGAATGACTCCTTGTTCTTCTAAAAATGATTTGCATTCATGATTTAAAAAATCTCTTGCTCTATCGGTTCCGATTCTTTTGATGGTTTTGCCGAATTGTGTTTTGATGAGATGGAAAAAATGTCCGCAGCTGGTGTTTGCATCACTTTTAAAGTTCAATAGAAATGTCCATGTCCCTCTTGAATAATCATCTACTATTGTGAGGAAGTATCTTGTCCCATTGTGTGTAGGTGTTCTATATGGTCCCCAAATGTCAAAATGTATTAGTTCAAAGATGTGTTTGGTTTTGGTTTGTGTTTGGTGAAAGGGTAATCTGGTTAATTTAGCTAGTGGGCATATAGAGCATTGTTTTTCTTCATGCTTACATATATCTTTTAATGATGGTAGAAATTTAAGTCTTAAGTTGCTAGCATGTCCAAATCTCATGTGCCAAACATTGCATTTTATTGATCGAGAAATTGCATTACATCTTGATTGAGGAACACCATTATCGCTAAATTTGAAAACCGACATAACATGAGAATAAGAATTTTGAAAGTTTGTATGGTGTCGAGACTTAAGAACTTGTGGTGAATGAACATATGAGAGTGTTTCTTTCTTGAGATAGTATAATCCATCGTGCATTCTACCAATCTCCTTTATCAACCCAGATCTTCGAGGTCTTAAAATAAGCAAAAATCGTGGTAAAATGCTATAAAGCATTGGTTATCTTTGGTGAATTTTGAAATGGATAGTAGGTTGAATTTGAAATCTAGTATGTGTAGCATATTTTTCAGTTTGAATGTGGAAGATAAGGATATATTGCTTATGTGTGTTACTTGGAACGATTTACCATTTGGCAATTGGACTTCTAGATGATTTAAAGCTATGTTAGAAATAAATGTATTATCATCTACTTCACAAGACATGTGCTCATTTGCTCCACTATCAATCACCCAATCTCTTCTCAAATCATCATGCATTTTGTTTACACAATAAGTAAAAATACTCGCAACATTAGTCGAAGCTTGATTTGAGGATGATCCCTTTCCGCAGTCGAGTCCGTCCCAAGTAATTGCATAATTTGGTTGTATTGTCGCTGCATGAAGGTTGGTGCATTTTTCACTATCCGACCTCCCCGATCTTCTTTGTTTGAAATCAAATCACCACACTCTGGTCCTCCATAACTAGATCGATTTGCATGATAACTTCTTCCTTCATTGCCTCGACCATATGGTCTTCATCCTCTTCTTCCCGAACTTCGTCTAGGTGTGCTTGGATACCCCACCAATTTGTAACAGTCCTTCTTTAAGTGTCATGGAATGTGACAATAATCATAAGTGACGACGTCTTTTCTATTCATATTGATTGTTTTGATGTGATTATTGGAGTAGAAACCTACTGAGAGTCACCGACTTGAACATTGTCGGAGATATTCCTTTGTGATTCTTCATCGCTCACTATGAAAAATGCTTGGGTGTGTGTAGGTAATGGCATCATCATAAGTATCTCGTGATCTTACATTAGCATAACTCTCATTCAAACCAATTAGAAATTGCAGCATTTTGAGGTGTTGTGTGTGTTCTAGGTATAGCTTTGAATTTGGGCAATCACAGAGTTAGGAATGTCACTAAAGTCTCAAATTCATCCAATAGCTTGCGAAGCTTAGAGTAATAAGTTGATACAGAGAAAGTATCTTGCATTATGTGAGAAATTTCTCTATGGATAGCAAACATTCGAGGCCCACTCGATATTATCGAATTTTTCTTTAAGATCCTTCCACACCATTGCTTGCAGATTTGTAATAGACCATAGCATTGTAAATTTCTTGTGACATTGTGTTCAATGACCAAGCAAAGACTATGGCATTGCATCCGATCCAAGTATGGATACGGAGGTGATGTAGGCTCGGCTTTTCACAGGTTCCATCAATAAAATCATATTTGTTTTTTGCTTCAAGAGAGATCTTCATAGCTCTAGACCACACACCATAATTCTCCATGCCTTTAAGTTCTAGTTCTTTTGGGACTAACACTAGATTTGGTGTGTCCGATGCATGAATATGAAGAGAATTTGTGAAATCAATTTTGGTTGTAATGGTTGCATCGAGGCTTGAATTTTCTTCGTGGTCATGATTATAGAAGATTGATTTTAGTAGAGAAATAGAAGCTCCGATACCATGTTAAAATTGAGAGACAAGATAGTGAAGGAAGGATTTTTTATTTATTCCTCAAGCATACTTTACATTCTGGCATTTCTTCCTATATATATACAAATTGTCCAAGCATTCTAGAATACTCCTACGAAAGAGAAAATCTATAACTAATTTCTAATAGCTACTTCTTGTGTGCCAATCATTGGCCTTTGCAAGTAGAAGAATTCTCCTAGTTCCTCGGATCAACCGACAGGTGGCAAAGATTGGTCGTTGAGATTTCCAAGTGTTGTAGGTGTGACGAATCATTATAACAAACACTTGGTGGGCAAGGTTGGTTATAACAGATTCCGCTTCTAATTGTTCCCGTGAGGTTACCATGCATTTCACCATGCATATTCTCCATGTATGCATCATCTTGCATACTGCATTTACACATTTTAACAATTATAAAAGCTCGACTTTAACTAGAACAATAGTAAATCAAATCAAATGTATAATTATACCTAAAATTATGTTTAAGAAAATCCAAAAGATTTTTTTCAAATAAATCAAATCTAATTTCCTATAATACCCTAAATTAACGAAATTACATGAAATACTAACTTATGTCCGGCATCTAAAGGATTATCTTTTCTCTTTATAATGTGACACTAAAGTTTTAATTAACGAGGAAAATTGAAGTGAGATCACGAGATAAGAACTACAAATCCTCCCTCCATCAAATCTTAGTCTTTAAGGCAAAAAAAAAAAGGGAAAAGATTAAAGGCATGGAAGGACGTCCTAAGAAATTATTTTCCTCATGTGTTAGTTAGTGAATGGTTTGAATTCCCTCTTGGACACAATCGGAGGGTGTTCTAAAGCTTCCAAACACTGCCTGACATGTATTAATCTTAGCTTTAAACCCAAAAAATTGCGTCAAATGCCGCTCATCGATTCCAAAAGGTATTTAGTTTCTACCTTTTTTGTTCCTTCTCATTGTAAAGTTTAACTTTGGAAATTGGAAATACCGAGATACTTTCTTTTTCACTTTGTGATTATTCATCGATTTCTTCTTTTTCTTATTTAAAGGCACCAATAAGTTTAACAGAGGGGACCGCAGGCATACACCATTTGGTCATCTTAAGCTTTTCTCGTCCATGAAAGTGCGATTTTAATTTATTCCTTGAGAATTCGAAAGGATACTCGTTCAACTAGTTGTTTATTTATTTAATTAAGGAACTTCAAGGTGGGTCTTCCTTTATTGCAGCTAAATTAAATGGCATGACTTAAAATAAGTAAACAAGCTGGTTCAGTGGTCCGGGCTGGCTGGACATGCATATGGTTACCCTTGAGCCTTATCAACATATTCAAACCCGCTTGAAAAAAAAAAAATTACAGATTATAGATTACCATTTCAGTGAAGGAGAGTTGACTCCATAAGCCTATTCCTATTGTCAAGTACCTACTCAAATAACTGTAAATATTGCCATGATTTGTGAAGATTGATATGAATGTATACTCGTAATTTAATATATTATGCAGAGTCAGTTTGACAATCTCGCTAATATAATAAACTAGAAAAAAATATATATTGTTTGGTTTGGAATACAATCTAAAAAGGTTCGAATAGTATAAAAATACTAGCCACTCATTAGGTGTTTTGCATAAAATTATTTTGTCCATCACAAAAATTCCTAAGATTTATGATCAATAATATCTCCTCAAGAACATGAAGATGAGTACGAAAAACATTCCTCTTACGATTTTCAATTTATGAAAAACAGGAACTACATATACTAAAATCAAACATAGTACTATTCATGAGGCATCCATAATGTAGGCAAGGTAAGTTAGTGCCCACATTTTATTAGAGAAATATTTATTCACACAAGAGTACAAAGTTGTCCTAACTCCTAACCTAGGTACAATAGAAAACAAAAGGTTCAAAATGAGGGGGAAAAAAAAGCGTCCTTAGTTTCAACAATAACTGTGCTGTATCCTCTAATTAATAATTTCTTTCTAGATGATTGACTTTAAATAGGCACCGTTCGTGGATATAGCAAAAAAACAAAAAATTGGAGTGGACATAGCATTCCACATCTCCTACAAGTATACATTTATGTAGTAGTAGGAGGAGCAGTGTTGTATCATTCAAGACATAGGGATCAGTAGGTCCATGCTTTTTAGTTCCAAATTTTTTCCATGTCCCAATGCAACCATTTTCTCTGCTCTAATTTCCATCTTCTCTGCAAAAGTAATAGTTCCAATGCCATGGCCGAGGATCACTGACCAACAACCTCTTCACCATGACTGTACACGGTTTTGGACTTTGTTAATATTATTAAGGTATTTTGTCTGTTTTTCATTTACTCCATAATACCATATGCAATCTTAGGCATATGCTTACGTATAATGAAAACAAACATAGATTTCACTGCTGATATTTTTCTTGTGTCGCTGTTTCTTTTTTGGCATTGCAGTTTGTTTAATGTAAACAGCAAAGACGTCTGAAGGACCCATCTTTGGAACTGGTCTGTTTTTTTTTGTTGTTATTAGGTTTGTTTACTGATCCTGTCTTTATAGCCAGCAAACATGTGCCCTGGTAGTAGTGGTAGTGATACAGAATCTCGAGGGATTATAAATTGTGACGATTTGGTTTCAAAGGATGGAGGAGAGTACAGGAATGAAGGTACAATGAGAGTAAGAGAAGAGGTCAAGTTTGTACATGGTCTTCTCAGACAGTTTAGGGTCAATGGAAATGTAGGAAGGTTGCCACTGCAAGAGGCAAGTTTCTCTCTCTCTCTCTTCCGCACCCCCCCCCCCCCCCCCCCTCTCTTGCTTGCTATGCATTTCTCATTTCCAAGCTTTTACAATACATTCATTATAAGTTATGAGCATACGGAGAAAAGTGTAAACTATCTATGCTTTAAGCATCGAGATAATAATAAATCTAGTAATTCTAATGGTTATGGTCATTACGCCGATGCCAAATGAAAAAACAAAAAAAAATGGTAATAACTCCATGATTTTTACCTTTGTTAAACATATGTAATGTGTTGGTCATAATGACATCAGTGAAATGGAATTGTGGGGAACATATGTGCGTGTAAACGAGGTAGACAAGTCTCCTCCTCCTTGTTGAAATAGGAGTCAAGGAAAAAGGAAAGGGTAACTTTACCACTTTCCAATTCCAGTAATGTCACTCTTGGTTGTGTGTATCATTTACGTTTAGACACACTGTTGTGTTGTTTCTGAGTTTTGTTTTGTTTTCATAAAAGGATGTGAAGGATAGAGACCATTGATTTTTACTAAAGTAGTTAGGACATAGTTTTGAAGTTGTATCATGATTCATGATCATTTGTCATTTGTGGACAAGAAAGAACCTCAAAAACATAGACCTCACCTCCCTTACTTTTCAGTGCTTCCAATTTTAGGCTGGCCCTTGTAAACAGAGATATGGTCTGTTCCTTTTGGAGACCAGAACCATGTTGCCACCGATTTTGTTTTGTCATCATAAAAACAAGAAGATGCCCACATAAACCGCATATTCAGGTACGTGGCGGGTCCCAATATAGGCCAATAATCAGTACTACTAGCTGAGATCTTTATGCAGAAGGTTTTTATTTTTTATTTTTTTTACAACATACTATAATTTAGAAAAAGTCGTGTACATCACTTTCTTTTTGACTTTTAAGAGACCATGACCAATGGACTAACATAAATCTGAACGAAAATGACATCGAACAACTTTCCTCGTTTTCCTCTCTTTATTCAATTATTAATATAATTGTATTTTCAGATATATATATATATATATATATATATAAGTGTCATTAAGGAATATACATATATATACATATGTAAGTGTCATTAAGGAATTTATGAGGAATATATATATATATATATATATATATATATATATATATATATATATATATATATATGTGCGTGTGTGTGAAAGAAATTCCTTAATGACACTTTTCATCATTACATGTTGTTATGTTAATGGAAGTAGGATTGTAAAATATTAATAATGATAATAATAATAATAATTTTATGATGAAACGTTCAATAAAAGCTTTATTATGAAAAATATAGTCCCAGGTTATCGTATTTATATTTATATTTTATAACAGAAAACATTTTTTTAATCAAAAGTAATTTTATGGGATGGTTACATCATTGAGGAATGCACTTTATCGGGGACACTAAGGAACATTTAATGCAGAGAGGTACGTGCTTTACGTACGACAAAGAGAAATTTCACCAATTTCATTTTGTCAAATTGGCTTCGTTACTTTTTTGGATCTTTATTTGGGTCATTTAATTTTCAAATCCATTTGATTGAGAACATAAATTTGGTAGGTATGTCATAGTTCATAGATTATGTGCACCCTCTATTCCATCATTCATTGAAGATTTGAGTTTTCTATTAAAAAAATTTCAAGTTTAAATTAAAAAAAAAATTTGAAGATTCAGAACTAGTCAGAGCTACTATCATTTATAAAGGAAAAACTCTTCTAAATTAATACCTTTTAATCTTAAAATACTTGATAAAAGTTTACGTTAAACCATTTGCTTCAACTTTTCAGACAACTACAAGCTAAAAGGTTAAAATTTTATGTTGTAATTTTCTTTTGCAAAGCTAATATGGTCCATTTTATTAGCTAGCAATAGTTGATAGAAAGCTCTTTTGCTCCTACATGGCCTAATCTCAAAACTGAATGTTAATTTTGTAGCTTGTGTTGGAAACATAGTTGTTGAAATCATAATCCGAATTATAAAATTACATAAAATAAATATCCGACATACCCGAATTGATTCGATCCTAATCCTAGATATAATCGAAATAGAAATTGTAGAATCGTAACGGTTTGTAATCGGACGGGAAGGATCCTATCAAGATTTTATTATCCATTGAAAACTCCTACGGAGATAGACCTATCCCTTTGGCAGGATTTTACAAATTATTGTATGCATTTTTACGAATTTTAATTTTTTTCCCCTCTTTCCCTTTCTCAATCAAATGAGAGAATCTCCCACATCCTTTTAGTTAAAAGCACAAAAATATCACCAAGCAAGGTAAGCTGTACAATGCAGAATGCAGATTGACTTTTTTGTTTTGGTCACATCATACACGGCATAAACATGATGGCTTAATACCAAATCTAATTATTTTAGAAACTTTCTTGACATTTATAATGGACTATGCGAATTTGTAAGGATAATTCCTGACATGAACATTATGGATTATATGCAGGTGGGAGAAGAGGTACTGTCTCTGGCTAAGATAGCATGCCCCATAATAATGACAACTCTGCTTATTTTCTCAAGGTCTATAATATCTATGCTCTTCTTGGGTCATCTAGGAAAGATCGAACTAGCAGGAGGTTCGCTCGCACTCGGGTTTGCAAACATCACAGGCCTCTCAGTGCTGAAAGGCTTAGCCATGGGAATGGATCCTATATGTGGACAAGCGTATGGGGCCAAGAGATGGTCAGTTCTTGGCCAAACCTACCAGAAAACTCTGTGTCTCCTGGTTCTTGTTTCTATACCCATCTCCTTCTTATGGCTGAATGTGGAACCAATCTTTATACGTTTAGGTCAGGATCGAGATATCAGTAATGTTGCCAAAGTTTACCTGACCTTCTGCATTCCTGAATTATTAGGTCAAGCTGTTCTTCACCCTATGAGATCCTTTCTGAGAACTCAAGGCTTGACAGCTCCTCTTACTATAGCTGCAGTAGGTGCATTAATCCTTCACACACCAATCAACTACTTATTGGTAATATACTTGAAGATGGGGGTAAAAGGAGTTGGGTTGGCCCTTGCTTGTAACACGTTAAATTTGAACTTAGGCTTGCTAATTTATGTCACGGTCTCAAAAACACCACTAAAACCTTGGCATGGGGTTACAGCTCTCTCAATCTTCCAAGGCTGGCGGCCATTGCTATCGCTAGCTTTACCTAGTGTCGTTTCTGTTTGCTTGGAGTGGTGGTGGTATGAGATCATGCTGTTTCTTTGTGGCTTACTACCCAACCCGAAAGCCAGTGTGGCAGCTACAGGCATCCTCATCCAAACAGCAGGTATAATCTACTCTTTTCCATTTTCCCTGGGCATCGGCGTGTCTACGCGAGTTGGTCATGCATTGGGCGCTGGACAACCGTCTCGTGCGCAATGGACAACCATAATTGGCATCAGTCTAGCTTTCACATTTGGTCTCTCTGCGTCTGTTATCACGGCTGCCCTGAAATCGGTGTGGGGGAAGCTGTACACTGATGAGCCACAGATTCTTCACTTGATCTCAGTCGGACTTCCACTACTCGGGTTATGTGAACTTGCCAACTCTCCACAAACAGCTGCCTGCGGCGTGTTAACAGGGACTGCACGTCCCAAAGATGGCGCACGCATAAACTTATGTTCCTTCTACTTCGTCGGATTGCCAGTTGCAGTTCTCCTAACTTTCCAATGTAAAATTGGTTTTCCGGGGCTATGGTTTGGGCTACTAGCCGCACAAATTAGCTGTCTATGCATGATGTTGTATACCGTGACTCGAACAGATTGGAGACACCAGGCTAAAAGGGCTGAGGAGCTAACTGCAGCCGTAGGAGATAATGATGGTGATGAGGGTGATTTGGAAACTGGCTTACTTCCAAGTGACAATTAATTCTCCAGAATCAAGGGGGTGAATAGGCAACATCTAACAAAGAGAGTCAGGCTAGATTATAACATACAAAATGAGCTAAACATATTCCTTGTGTTCAGAAACTACTGCAGGGTGATCAATGTTTGTGATAGGGGAGAAAAACAAAGCATTACTCTGTTAGAAATGCTTGAATGATTTATTGATTCATGTCTTAGAAGCAGGAATATCATTTGTACATGGAAAAGCAGAAATATCCAACTTCTAAATTCCACGAATTCCCTATAGTAGGGCAAATTCATTGCAAAGTCTTAAATCCCAGAATACAAAGTTCAAAAAAAAAAAAAAAATCCAACCACTATGTAATATCGAATAACGATAACGGATTGTCCTAAAATCTAAAATCGTTATACAATGATAATTATTTAAATTTATAATTCATAGTCCAATAAAATAAGGAAAAAACAACAATCTAAAACTGTCAAAACAAATTGTTCGGCACTATAGATCTTAACATATATGCTATCACAAAACAATTTTGCATTTTGAAAGCAAAAAGAACAAATGATACTCAAAATCATTTTACCTAACTTAAAGAAGAAAGGAAATGTTAATATTACAATCCCCTTGACAATATAGTCAAGTTTATTAACTATTTTCACAGACATTAGCATTGATCTTGTACTAAGAGCAGCAAAATTAGTGTGGTTAATCAAGTTCGGATATTTTATTAATGTTGGACAGATATAATCAGATATTGACAAAAAATGATCTTGTACTAAGAGCAGCAAAATTAGTGTGATCAATCAAGTTCGGATATTTTATTAATGTTGGACAGATATAATCAGACATCGACCGAATAATCAAAAAAAGAATTAGGGCGAAATTGATCGTTATCTTTGATTGGTACCGGTCTTCGAACTACGACCGTTCATAGCTGGAGAAAGCGTCTCAAACTTCCAGTCTTTCTTTTACGAGACCACTCATTCGGATTTGGCAACGCCGGTCACTTCCCTTAAATGACATGTAACGCCGTAACATCATATTGGATTGGACCACATTGACCTATGGCCAACATAGGGGCGGAGGAATTTATTACTAACCAGTAAATTAATAGGTTGCTGTTTGTAAGACATGTAAAATCATTTTTTAACAACATAGGGGCGGAGGAATTTATTACTAACCAGTAAATTAATAGGTTGCTGTTTGTAAGACATGTAAAATCATTTTTTAAAAAATTAATTTGATAATATGAATTATATTTATCTTTATCTGATATTTAAAAGATTTCTCAAAATTATCATTTAAAAATTGTATTTGTTTAATAATGTAAGTTATTATTGATTTAGAAATCGTCACTTAGTCTTGAAAGTAAATAAGAACTTAAAAGAACACTAGTTCAGAAATTTAAAAATAAAAAGTTAGTTATGTCTTTGAGAAGATATCAATCATCAAAACTACGTTTTCCTAAAAAAAATACTAAATCTGGTTTAATCCTAAAGTTTATCTCTTAAAAAATTCTATTATTTGTCAAAATTCCAAACTTTATTTCCTAAACCAATTGATTTTTTTTTTTATGGTGATATTGAATAAATCGTTGGACCCCATCGTCGAAGTCTCATCAATTCAACATCGAATCTAGTTTAAGTCTCAATATAACCGGCATGTCAAAAAATGACCTAATTACGAAAATATGATTGATTTAAATTAACATCGGTCTCGGTGGATAGGAAACTTGTTAATTTTCCCTTAGCATTTTCTTTATTTTTTTTCCTTTTATATCTTTTTTATCATTTTTCTTTTCGTTTTCATTTTTTTTTATTTTTTTCAAGGTTAGTGAAGAATAGTCATCGGTCCTTAAAAATTAAAAGAATTGATGATTCATCCACATATTAATTATCTTATTAAACTATCGATTATTCAAGCCATATTTAATATTAAAATAAAATCTAAAAATTAAATTAATAGTCCCTATATATTTATAGGAGTCTAAAATCTAATCACAAAATTCAGGTTTAGTTAATACTAAATATTAAGCTAAATTAAAATTTAAATAACGAAAGAAATTAAAAGTTAAGCATTAAACCAAATAAATTGAAATAAATGGGCAGAAAGAGTTCAAAAATTCTAAAACAATTAAATCTAGATTAGACATGAAAATAAGAAGCATGTATGAAAATTTCATATTTAATTTACCAAGAAAAATAGCTAAAAAGGGGGTGAATAGGATTATTGGGCCTTTTGGCCCAATAGGCTTTCGCATGCCTGCTTCTTTCCTCTCAACCTTAGGCTGGGCTAAGCTCAACCCATTCTCGTGGTCACACTGGTTGGGCTAAGCCTAGCCCACTTTTCCCTCTTAGCCCAGCCCCTCATTCCTATATTTCTTCGTCAATCCAGCCCTAAAAACAAAAGATCAAAATCCGTAAAGCCTACTCTAATCCTTCTTGCCCCCGATTTTTCTTCTTAACGTTCTAACCTATCGCCCAGAAATAAACCTTTCGATCTCCTCCTCTTTCTTAAATCCAAAACCCCAGGCCATATATTCTTTCAATTCTCATCATCCTGTTACTCTGAAGTAGACTGATCCCTCAACAAAACCCTTTAAGTTCCTCTCTTTCCTCTCAAATAAAAAACCATAGGTATTATCTACTTCCTCAATGTAGTCTTCATCCTATATCAAAACCCAACATCAAACGGACTAACCCCTAAAATCAAACCTTCTCAAGTCATTAGACCTTTTTTTTCTTTATCTCACAAACTCAAACACACGCAAAGCGAAGTTAGGGCAGTAGGAGGTTTGCATGATGATAGTGATGAAATCATTGCCATTGCTTGTTGCTTGGGATCAATTGACACTAATTGAAGTTACAAATCAATGAAGGAAGCGAAAATTCATATCTGAGTGTCTGATTGATGGAACCTGGCTCGAGGGAAACAACTAGCAGTAGATGGTTCCTGCTTCAACTGGTGAGAATCCTTTCTCTTAAAAACCCAGAAACCAGTAACCTAATGATCTTTCAAGAATTTGTTTACCCTACAGAAACCCCAAAACTTTTCTTCTTCAAATACCCAGTAGGAACCTGAGTTTTTCCTCTGGCTTGTTGTCTTCATTGATGAAGGTGAATAGTATCAGAGGATGGTGTAGTACAAGGCAGGCGTGCTAGGGAAAAGCTGGGATGACTCGGACGATAGGTTATTCAAGTGATTCCGAATTGGTCCTGTCGTTCATGTCGTTTGTCAATATAGGTCCTAGTAGGTTTTAATATGTTTCAATTATACAACTTATTCATGTCATTGTAGTCTCTAGTATTTTTAATTTTTCAACTGAGCCTCTGTATCTTTTAATTTCAGTTTCAGTATTTTGAATTATTTCAATTATGTCCCTAATCGCTTCAGTTGCACCCTTGAACTAAAACTAAAAATAAAACTAAATAATAAAATAAAAATGTAAAACCTAAAATTAAACATGCAACCCAAAGTAAAATATATAAAAGATAGAAAATACGATAAAGTAAATGAAAGAAATAAAATCAATGAAAACAAATATTAAAACTAAAATATAATCCAAATTTTGGGTTATGATAATATTGAAGGTCTTTTAAAATATATTGAATTAAAAGTAAAACAATATATACAATTAATATAAAAACTTGTATAAAAATTAGCAAATGAATATTTTTTTCATTCTTATTTAATTGTGATGAAAAGATTATTTTTAAAAAAATATGTATATTTAATTTATATATATATTTATTCATAAAATAATCAATAATATTAGTATAAAAAATTATATTTGAATCATTGGATGGTTCTCCGAAAATATTATTTTAATTATTTTATTTCAAAGAAATTGATTTTAGAATATTAGAAAAAAATAACAAATGGTTAATGTTATTTGAATAGATGCATAGTTAATTTTTAATAAAATTAATTATCTCAATTTTTTTAATATACATCATTGGTCATGTTTAGTGGGTTTAGAATGTAAAATATAAATAAAAAAATATTTAAAAACAAATAAATTGCAAGTAATATATTAAAGTTAATAAATTGAAATAAAAAAAATTAAAAATTAATTTTGATAAATTTTAATTATATAATGAATAAGAAAATAAAACACATAAATTTTATTTTTTTAATTGATTTTTTTTAAATGAGACAAGATTATCTAAAATATCCTTACTGTTAACACACCTGCAGCACTTATGGACTCAATTATAGAATTATTTCTATAATTAATATTTAAATCAAATAGTTGGTTCTTTAAATATATTTTTAGAAAAAGTAGAAGAACTGATTCTAAGAAAAAGTGAATTTGAGGAATATTTTGAGGAGTTCAAACCTATTCTTGGATTTGTTGCAAGTTCACAGTATTCAATTGAATATGAAAAATTAATCTAGACTAATCCGACCCGATTCAAACAGCTATTGAACATAAGAGCAGGCTTTCTAATCTAATGATGATAATTTATATATGATAGATAAATCATAAAATAAAAGGATATATACACATTTAAAAATAAAATAAATAATAGCAATTTCAAAATGGTTAGGTATTTTTTTCTTTTACAGTATTTAGAATGTCGACCGAAAAGCAGAAAGAAATATTAAAATCTTGAATTAAAAGGAACTTAGAATTAAAGATTTTTTTTTTTCCTTATTTAACTTCTTGAACTAAAGATTCTCAAGAAGAAACGATTAGTCGTCCTCTGTTTGAGTTTTTTAACATTTTACTGTACCTAGGTCCACTAGTTATTGATTTTCATGGACTTATTCGTTGATCTAAAATAGTAAATTCTGAAGCACAAGTACATAAATTTGTATATGCCCAAAAATATTAAAATCTAGAATTAAAAGGAATTTAGAATTTTTTTTTTCTTTTATTTAACTTCTCCAACTAAAGATTCTCAAGAAGTCGTCCTCTGTATGGGTTGTTCAACATTCTTTAGGCCCACTAGTTACTGATTTTCATGGGCTTATTCATTGATCTAGGATCGTGAATTCTAAAGCCGAAGTATATGTAT